CGTGCGACACGTAGAAAGTTCAAACTTGAGCACACCCTGGGAAAAATGCCCGAATGGCGGTGCGAAAACAGAGAAATTGATATGGGAAAAGGTGTGTGTGAATTTGCTAGTCTCGCGCTATCCACGTATATGCAAATGAGCGACGAGAGCGCAACTTTGGGCCTCAAACCAACCCCCAGCAAATAGTGGCAGTATTGTGACAAACTCTCTGGTGTATAATGTAAAATAATTTATAATGGCAAAAGTGGTTGCCAGCGCTCTAGTGTGCTATGTAATTATTCACATAAAACCACTCTTTAATCATTTCAACTGGTGTGTATTCAATTTTCATGATTTACTCAAACATTTCAATTATTCACTGAATATTACAATATTTCAAACTGCCTCTCCAGTCTCTCTCTCTCTCTCTCTCTCTCTCTCTCTCTATTGCGCTTATTTATGACGAAAACAACCACTCATTCGCCTCTCCATCTGCCCTCACATTCAAGTAATTTAATTCCTCACCATTCGATTTGCCATTGTCAATCGATTGAAATGTGTTCACCATCCAGGAGTATGTCTCTTTTTAATTACTCTTTTCACCTCGGACATTCGCGCGAGTCGACCATTTGAGAATTGCATTTTTAATTTAGCCATACATGAGGTTTGCCCGATGAAAAACACTTCCCGGAGATTCATTAAAAACTCACGCGACTCCATTGGGAATTTTATAGTCGCAGTAAATTTGAGATTTTACATTCTCAAGCAATGTCATTTGCACACATTTCTGCAATACTCATCCTTAATGACTTCGCTTGAGGAATACAAAATCTGTTTGCAATTTACACCGCTCATGAGTGAAAGACTTGAGCTTTAGCGGATTATGTGCAGAAATTTTCCACCGCCTTCATTACAATGCAAGAAAATTTGTCGTGCTTTTGTGGAGGTTAAATACATTTAAAATATTTCATGCTCAGTTGGAATTATCATCTGACAAGTGTAATCTTAATACGAATAATGAAAATCTCACCATTCTTACGTTCACACAATCTTCCTTCTTATTGGCATTTCTATGTCGCGTTATGAAGATGTGAAGAGCCTCGAATACTTCCAGCTTCTTCTGGCTGTTCAACAAATTCCCAATCAATAAGTAATCCTTTAAAAGCATTAATAATGCACTTTATTTGTCCATCACTTCGCATAATATCATAAACATACTGACAAACTTTCGTGGAAACTTTTACTGACACTGAACAGCGACACTTTTCCGCTGTAAATAATTTAACTATCAATAAAAGTTGCGGAACTCTTCTGTGAACTGTGAAGGGCGATATTTATTGGGGATTCAGCACTTAATTTGCGAAATATTGAAATAAGCGCGCAACTTTGGCCCCGAGACTGTGGCAATTGACATAGTTTTTCATCCTAAAATTGACTGCTGAGGATGTCTCAAGGCGAGGGATTGTATTTATTGCCTAAGCCACGAACTGTACGAGATTATTTAGTGAGCAGTTGTCTGCGTATCGAAAAAGGGAAAACTTTCCCAACCATATTTTCACCATTAAATTTTATATACTCTCAGGATAAATTACGCAGAATTTTGTATTTTCACCCTTGCATAGCATGGAAAATCGGCGAGGTTTCGAGTCAACTCATCCCGGACAAACCCCCAGCGTTGGAATTTTGCTCATACAATATCAAAATTCTATCTATCAACATCTCTCCATCGCTCCACGTCCGCAAGAGCAACGAAAGTGCTCTATATATGCGTAATTATAAAATTACTTGCCTCTGGCTTGAATTCCCAGATAATTTATCATTGTCGCTGTTGTGTCTAAGAGAAAATTTCACTTGTGCCGGGGGTTTTCCGAGGATATCTCTCTCCTCGCAAGGGATGTGAAAATGCCGAAGCGGGAATGTGCGGCTGATGACATAAGCGATGGAAAATGCTGGGAAGATTGAAAATGGCTTCTCTATCGAATCAAACTTGAATTAATTGGAAGCATAAAATTTAATTTGCGCCAATTAGTCTGAACCCAATTTGAGTGCCGTGTAGCATCTTATATTTTACATCCCAGCCAACACTTATAAACACATAAAGTATTTTCTTGATGGTGTTAATTAAATTCTTCAGTGTTAAATTGATAAACTGATACGAGGAGTGGATTTTCTGCCCGATGGCTGCCAAGCATTTTCACACTTCGCGTCCCGTTGTAACGGTTGAGGAATTTTCATTACCCCCTCGAGTGTGGGGTGTGTTTTCGGGGGGAGAGAGAAAAAAGAAACTTTCCCTTGCCAGACAGTGTCACCAAAGACGATGAGGTCCACTTTTCCACAGACGAACAGCGCCAAATTTTGCACAAGTATTTTCACAGCAAACAGTCGCGCTGTCGGTGTGTATCAGATGGCGCTAAGAAGGGCATAAAAAAAGGACGAAAAGGCGGTTTTTGTAATATATTTTTATTTTGTCTCACAATATTTATACTGGCGCGAGATTTCTTGTGATGTCGTCAACGAGCAAATCTCCCAATGTGACACTTGTTTATACCATAAACATCCCTCAAGTCCTTCCCAGCATTGAGAATAATTTAATTAAATCCGTCCGGGAAGTGCGATAAAGTATTCACTCGTTTCATGCCCCAGATTAAGATACAAACCCCCACGAAGAAGTATTAAGCTGAGGCATTTTCAAAATTAAAATCTGCGGTAATGACATCTAGCATGGCTTCCCATTCAATTCCATTCCCAAATGTCAGCTAAGGATGTGCAGAAACTTTCAATAAATTCTCCTGATTTTGCCCATCCTTCGCCACACACTCTGCGGGAAGCGAAACTCCATGGCTTGACTTCATGGGGGAAAATGGGCGGGAGAGACAGGAAAAATGGGGACACGAGGAAATAGAGAAATGCTCCTTAAATGGACCATTTTCGGGATAGCACAAGACAGGATTTCCAGTGCAGAGAATATGTGCTTATTTTCATAAATTTCTCGCTACATTAGGCGGTAATGCAAGGCGAAATTCCCTTAAAGTGTTTGGCAAAAAATTATGAGCTTCCTTGAGAGCTTTCTTTGGGAATAATTTCATATAAATATTAATAACAAGGATGCGATATTTTTGCAAGTGAATAGAAAACGATGAAAAGTCAAAATCGCCATTTATCTCGCGTAATCCACAAGAATCAAATGTAATAATTATTTTCTGGATGCTCCAGTTGATTTTCTTGCTATTTATTGGCTTTTCAGTCAATTCATCAATCAAAAATCAAAAGATATGACAAATATTATACTCATTTAAAAACAAAGAATATTTTAGGGAGATTTGAGACAATTTTCTTAGAAAAAATGCAAGGCGTAAACCATGAATTGTCGTCTTTTTATAGTTTCTTATTCACTTGTCGATTTACATTGATCTTTCTTCCTTCTTCAGAGTCAAAAACATTAAGTCGACAGAATTTCTGCTTATGGCAAAAAGTGTCTTTGGACTATAAGCAAACAATAGTGTTGGAAATTGAAGAAAAATGCTTGATTGAAAGCTCTTCAGCGGGTATTTTTCTCATCTTCGCTCTCATCAAAGAAAACACACACACAAGAATTCTTATCGTCGCTTGGAGGAGAAGAAGAAGAAAAAAAACCGATTAAGACGAAAAAGTGAAACAAGGAAAAGTACTAAAGAGAGACTCGAAGTCGGCGTGTGAAAAATATGCTGATGCCAAGAGTTGACGCGATTGTCAAGTTTTCCTAAAATTCCACCCGGTTTGAGATGAAATGTCTGTTCTTCATTTGCCTGAAAAACTGGAGTGACTTTTTTCTGCGCTCTGTGTCGATCACATTGCTTTTGGAACTTTTATCCTTCCGCCAAACTTTCTCAACCATGAATTCATTGTGACTTTGCCGCGCACTCAATCTCAAATCAACGTAGCCCCCGAAAAGTTTAAGTCTATCAAAATGTGTGTGTGTGTGGCCTTTGAGGGAGAGAAAATTCCGGGAATTTTGTGAGATTTGCCGTAAAGCTCAGAGAAAAGCGCGCGCGCGTGCCTCGGCTGGGATTTGGCGAATCTGCTGGACAGATTGTGGCCCATTGAAAAGTCCTCACAGCGTGACAGCTGACCCGAAGCTAATCCCATTGGAGGATGACCACAAACTAAGGGCCAGAATTTCCATGCTTTTCGCCCCCGCCGTGCATATCTCAGACGATAAATCAAAATGCTATTTGGCCATTTTATATGCCCATTTTACCCTCTGGGAGAAAGTAAAAAGGATACAGAAAATCCTGCCGGTGCCACCCATCTGTGGGTCTCGCAATCATTAAATACTCTCCCCTTGGAAGCAGAGGGCGGGATAAGTAACCCTTTCAGTCATACTTCTCCATAGTGAAACTGATCCCTTCTCTCTCTCTCTCTTTCGCTGTTTGATGAGAAGTGAGTGACTCTCACTTGAAACCATCAATCAGGATGCTTTTAGAGTAATTCAATAGATCAGATCAGCAAATATCAATATATTTTCTTACATGTCATCAATGCATTTTCATCGATGAACTCGTAATTTGTATTTACTCTGCAGCTTTTGTGAATATTTGCATTGCACCATTATCTGCGAGTCCCGAAATGTTACACCATGAAGCTTAAGTATCAGCAGAAATTCAGGGCGATACTCTTCCATTATGTGTGTGTGTGTCCTTAATCAGGAAGTAGAGAAGCGAAAGAAGACGTTCTCCACCTCCTCTGACTTGCTTTTTCCCCCCTCATTCACTCACATGGGAGTCTCATTTATCCATCAAATCGTGAATCAGCCTCCCCAAAAGTGGCCCGATAATGGAAGACACACGCTGAGGGAAGTTTGAATTTGCATTGCATAATCTTTGGGGGAGGGGAATCAATTTGCAGAAAATCCTCCTTAATTTACTGCCAAGTCACTCAATTAAAATCTTTGGCAAAATTGCGAGGAGTTTTTATCAGTTTGACTAACAAGATTTGTGTGATTGGGGGAATTGTTCTGAGAGTCCTTTTCTCTTCAATTGCAGCTGAGCGAGGATCTTGGCTACGTGCTGTACTCGGCTCTGGGCTCCTTCTACATCCCCAGCTGCATCATGGTGTTCGTGTACATCAGGATCTACTTCGCTGCGAAGCGGAGAGCGAGAAGGGGCATCAAGAAACCGCCCAGGAAGTCAGCCACGAATGAGCAGGTAAGAATCCGCGCGATTCTAGTGTTTGAGAGCAAGAAACCACGCCATTTCTCCCCCCTGATTCAGGTGACCAGCTTCACGACCAGTCCATGCAAAGCCGGGACACGTCCAATGCCCTCAGTGCCTAGCACGGCGCCCAACACGCCGGTACAAACGCAGCCCGACCCGCCAAAGCTGCAGCCCTCGATCGCGACGATCGAGGCGCGCGCCAACACGGCCAACACGCCCTCCGTCATGGCCATCCCCAACATCACGTGCGACTTCGCGTCGGACGTGTCCACGAGCGAGGCGTGCGACGCCGTGGACCCCAACTACGGCAAGGACACCCTCAAAGTCAGCACGATCGTGACGACGCACGCGCCCGGCATTCGCGCCTCGTCAAATGGCACGGCGTCCAACGACATGCCGACCACGGTCGGCCGATGCAGGGCCCTGTCCGTGGGAATCGACACGGACATGGTCAGTGAATTCGATCCGTCGAGCTCGGACTCGGGCGTGGTGAGTAGATGTGCAGTTGTAAAACCACTTAAGATGAAACTTTGTCAACCAATTTTCGGGAAAAAGAACCACCGCAAGAAGGACCCGCAAAAGCACACCCAAATTCACATGCACAAGCCCTCCGTGGGCGCCATGGAGCTGGAGCCGGCGATACCCAAGATCCAGAAGCAGCGCGATCCGGAGAAGGAGAAGCGACGCATCGCAAGGAAGAAGGAGAAGCGCGCCACGCTGATTCTCGGCCTGATCATGGGCAGCTTCATTGCCTGCTGGCTGCCCTTCTTCTTCCTCTACATCCTCACGCCGCTGTGCACAAAGTGCCAAATACCCGAGTCCGCCTTCGCCATCGCCTTCTGGCTCGGCTACATGAACTCCGCCCTCAATCCCGCCATCTACACCATCTTCAACAAGGACTTCCGGCGCGCCTTCCGCCGCATCCTCTTCAAGTGATGTTTGGCGTACGTGTGCTGCTACCGTTGCGTCTACAGGAGCATCGAAAAGGCTACCGAACGGGCAATGGGCAGCACACCGATGGGCTATGGCGGCTATCTGGCGCGCCGCTAGACTCCCGCCGCACAACAACCCCATCTGCGGAGGTCCGCCGGCCTGAAATCAGCCAAAAGCCCTCCCCTGTGATTCAACCACCCCCCCGCGAGCGGACCTCCAACTCTAGGCTAGCGAACTCGTCAAATTCTGTGTATCTGCGTGGAAGTGCAAGCGTGAATGCGTGATAGCCAAAGGTGAGATTGCTCTTAGACATAATTCTAACACCAGCAATAAATAGAGATCATGTTGAGTTGTAACAGAGACATATTAAACATTAAATAGTTGAGCATATATAGAAAAGGATCTAAACACCAATTACCGTAGTTAAATATTCCTTAGCTAAGTCTCGTATTGAACTTTGAATTTAGAGATGGTTAATGCCAAGAAAAGGAGAGCAAAACTTATACAAAGATGGTTTCCACAGTAATATAAGTGTACAGGATTATCTCCGCAGGAGGATGCAAGAACCTCTCTTATCAGTGTTTATCGAAGTCTATTTAAATGTTATGGTATTGTAGGCAAGACGCAGAGGATGTTATGACGCAACATTTCTCCCCCGCGGAGAGTCATAAACGAAGTGTAGAATATTTGCATAATAAACATATTGATGTTTAGACCATAAAAAAAAATTCTCGATAGATTGACAACTTTTGTTGATTTTTTTTATCGATTTCTTTCTTACATCTCAATTTCTGTTGGATTTGTACGACATTGTAAAGAAAGAAACGTTATTTCTCATGCACACAAGGCTTTGTGTGCATTTGAAGCTCATCTTCCAGAGTGTGTTGAAAGACAGATTATAGATATAATATATTGTGTAGGATAATATAACATGCATATATAGATAACTTGGAAATCTAATATACTACTATCTGTGTTCAGATAGGTTTAGGCGCGTGATGATGCAAAATGGTGGGTTTTTGCGTGAGAGATTTGGAGGTAAAACGTGTAACAACAATGACATAAATTCTGTGATAATTTAAAAGAGATGAACTCTATAATGTTCTCTGTATATAAAGCATAAATCTCATGAAACACACACACAAAAAATCTCAACTCTCCATACTCACCCTGTACAGAATCTCTTGGGTTTTTTCCCCTCTGTTGCCAGAGGATGACAGCTCTGGAGAGAGACACAATTTCCATGGCATTGAGCATTCTCTATCCTCTGCAGAATGTTATCACGAGCCCCGAAGGATGGCGAATTGTAGCAACAATAATAGTCTGTGCGAAAAATCAAACAATGCACAACTTGGTCCCTGATACGACCGTAGTTTGGCTAAGAACTACCGGCAAAAAATGGCGACAGAGAAGATGACGCCAGCGGAGGAGTTCGAAAAAGTTTTTTTAAGGCCAAAACAGACGCTGTCATCCTTGAATTTCACTCCCTTTCCCCCCCACCCCGCCTTTCCGTCGAAAGTCGATTCGCTGGTGGGCTTAAGAGGGCACAATTTCATCCCCCCATAAACGCCTCAGGCTTTCCGAAATTTCCGTAGAACTAATTTCACGACTATATATTTTCTTAGGATAATTTAACCAGGAAAAAAAAGAGAGAAAAGAATTGCGATAAAAAAATATATGGTATGGAGAAAAGATAACGCATCGTGGGATTTTAGGGCGAAATGGAAATGTTTGAGGTAAGGAAGAAAAGAAGGAAACCAATTTCAAATTGAACATTTATATTAGATAAGAGGGAGTTTTCACAATCACCCACAATTTATCAAATTGAGAAACAAGGATATAACCTCCTAATCTGTGTATAGGTACCAAAATGATTTTATAAGTCATTGTATAGGATTTGTGTATCTAAATGGACACTCCCATTCACCTCTAGGACAATTGTACATAAGCTTAAGGCATATTTTTGATGTGAGTTGTAAGTGTAGTTAAAGAAATTTCAACTCTCTAGGAATGTAGGCAATCGACACGCCAAGTGTAAATCTTGAGGACTTTCTTCTCTCACTCTTAAGAAGGCGCACAGCGAGGCGCACACATGAAAGGGATGCCTTTCGTCCTCACTTTGTCTCGTACGATTGAAGACAGGCGAGCAACATTACAGGAAAAAATATGAAGTTATATATGGCTTGATTTGAGGGAGGGACACGCCCTTCCCTTTCCTCTCCCCCGGGAAAACTGGCACCGCGGCGCGATTGGACGAGATGGGCTTTCGTCAGAGGAAAGCTTACAACATTGCAAAGTGAAGAACTGGTTGATAATCAAATGAATTCCATTAAAATTGTATGTATTGATTAACAAACACGAATGGCAAATATTTTAACGCACAAAAGTCCTTAAGTTCTTCTCTTCAGGGGTTGATAAAACTGTATAGACACTTTGGCCCATCTCTGGATAGAAAGCATTTGAAGCTGGATTACAATGGAATTCCTCAATGGGGGTGTATTTTAGTGATGAAGGATAGCAAAAGGAAGGCAAATTAATCAGAATTGTGTACCGTAAAAGACTGAGTTGCGTAAAACACTGTGTAAAAAAATCCTCCTTTATATTTATGTGTGTAAATACTCGAAACTCTCAGCTGAGACAAGGAATTGACTGTGGCGGAGGAGAGGAGATTGGTCTGAATGAGGGAAGCGAGTCGGATGAGATCAAAGGGAGCGAGAAATTATTGACATAGGCATCAGAAGGAAGCATATTTCTTTTCTCTTCCAAGATATGCGCGAGATTGTTCTTGTGACAAAGAAACAAACACATAACTATATAAACAATATTTGTTCACATTGCTGTACAATCATTTCATTGGGGGATGTTGCAAAATGAGACACACATACATGTCATGAGCACACAAGGAACCGCCGTCAAATTCATTTGGTGACACACAAAGAAAACCCACAAGATCTCATTTTAAAGGAGCAATGCGGGACGAGGAAAGCAATGCATCAGACGAGTATGATTGCAGGATACACGAGGGGAGCATCTTCCGGCATTGAGACCACCAGAGGATGCTTCTATTTTTGAAAAAGAAACGGAAAATCCCGTGGGGAAAGACAAGCGCTTAGGCAGATGCTCTCCTCCAAACTCACCCCCTCCAATAATTTCGGCTGCGGGACGAAGGACCCTCTCTCTCTCTCTCTCTCTGTGCACAAAAAGCAGGACTATATAGAATCAATTTCACGGAAGAAAATTCCTCACAAACGAGACAATCACGCGTTGATTCTGCACAGCGAAGAAATCACCCGAGGTGGAAAATCTATTTCGGCGCCCAACTCCGCACGCATTTGCACATTTCACCTCATATGATGTCGCCGGTGACGTATGAAGGCAGATTCTTCCATGTATCGCTGGCACACGTACCATTTCATGATTCTCAACATGTTCCATCTACTCTGCTTTAATGGCATTTTATGCTCATGAAGGTGCGTCCTCACCATCTCAACTTTCACCCAAGATCCACTCCAATGTTAACGTACATGCTCAGCCTCGCATAGAGTTGACACACTTGTAGATTCTGTAGCACAAGCTGGGCCAGACAACGGACTTTCTTTGATCTTGAAGAATTATTAAATTCCTCCGGGACGGAATTATGCAAAAATCACCCTATTTTCCGTGTCGTTTTACCGTGTCGAAGATCGACACAATATTCCAGTATTTTTGTCGCCAAATAACGTGAAAAATTGCCTACAATCTTTACTTAAAACTCTACTGACTGTTTAAGTACATTTTACTGTGAGTTTTGTGAAAATCAGGCGAATTTTTGTGCAAAAACGACGCTAATAACAGATCGTTGGCACTTTTTCACGTAAATTTGCCTTGAACGTATTTTATTGTCCTCAGGGTACAATTTCCCAGCATTTTTCCACTCCCAACGCGATTTGTTTCCGCGATTCGCTGTAAAAGTGGAAAACATAACCTCAAAAATTAGGGTAATTTTAACATAATTCCATTGCAGCAATTGAAGGTGTTCGCAGCATCTTCTATCTGGTAAATTTCACTCAATTTCCCTCCATCAACTCTGACACTGGATATCTCTGTGCTCACATTTCTCCACCTTCTTTCGAATCCCATTGAGGTACTATATTAAATTTCCGCAATTCAGACACCACATTTCGACCAAGCAAAAAAACACAAATTTCTCAGCATGAGGAAAAGGGGAGGAAGTCCTCGTCTATCTTCCCCCGATGAGGGAAGTTGAAGAACTGTACACAACGAAGAATGGTGCTATTGAATATTTCGCACGGTTATCATTGATATCAGTTTTGGCGCCAAGGAAAATAGCATGCAAATTTATCAACATGTGATTGTCTCCGCTCCTTTTATTCCCTCCTCCACCTAATGCTCTCTGCGTGTCGAAATTCGATTTTCACATGCGAGAATATTTGAGTGTAAAATTAAGAAAAGAAGAAGAAATACTGTAATGTTAAGGGGAAAATGTGTAAGGCAAGTCGATAACTCATTTGAAAGTCATTTCATTCAATCAGACAATCCGGAGCCCGATTGTCTCGTTGAATTCACACTTTATGGAATAGAGTTACATGAAATTGTAAGATATAATGTAATCAATTAAGATATAATCTTGTATGTGTAAAATATATTTCATATAGTAGAAGAAAAGCATAAGAAAATTGACAGAATCCCATTATAATTCATATGAGATATAGAGTGCTAAGTATACTGCATTTTCAAAATTAATGGATAACATTTCAGACAGAACATGAGGTATAGAGTTAATGAAGAAAGTTCACGATATATATTGAGTTAAGTACGAGTGTGAAACTTGTGAGCAAGTGATTGAAAGGAGAACATTTGGAGAACTTTCTCATATAATGATAGGAAGCAACTTTAGGTGTACATTTTATGACATAAACTCTCAAACTGAAGGAAGGATAGTATAGTGTGTATAAAGATGAAATTCTGTAAAAATGTAACAAGTGAAGGAAAGAATAAAAAGAAAAATTGAATTGAATTTTAACCATGAACAAAAAACGCATTTTCATCTCTGGCAGAAGGAAGTGAAATATTTAATTAAAACATTAAATAAATCTAATACGACAGAAGGAAGACAATTTGTCACAAACAACGCGAGCTTTGGCGTCACTTGAGCTTTCTCCGGCGCAGCTCACGCCAACCCCGCACCTCGTTGAGGTTTAAGTGAATTTATGACGCTTTTAGTGCTGCACACGCACTTCTCTCTCTCTCGCGCGCGCGCTGCCTTTCCTCACCAGGGATCACCAGAAGGATAATGTGAGTTGAAAGCATTTTAATTTGCCACTTGAAAATATTTACGGGCCCCAGAGACGCGCCGGAGTGCGGATGAATTCTCGGGAGTGACAAAAAGACTGTCGCCAGAGCGGAACCAGCCTCCAACTGTGAATGGCGCGTAATCCAAAGGAGCTTTCCCACCCACTCGCCAAGCGGAAAAAGATTGGCAGTGCAGGACTTGTGAGCTTTCACCACAAAACACTCCACCGTTCGCCATGCTTTCTGCGAGTGTTTCTTCTGCTGCCACTCATAGATTTGCCAAACACTGTCACATGTTTAGGTGGCTTTTTTTCTGTCCACACAAGAGGAGATGCTGTGGGGCTTTTAAACACGACTCTCAGACATATTAATGTCTCATCAAATTTCCATTTTACGATACAGTCGAATGAGCGTGAGTGATTGCAAGCGACTGGAAAAAGCCAGAAAGCTTTTGGCTTGAGAAAAAATCACACACAAAACAAC